AGTGACAGGCGTATAGCCTCTAGGTCGGCCGAGACTAACTGCATGCCATCATGGTACCGAGCTACCATCCTCGCCTGGTAGATCCACTCAGCCATTCGAACCAACTGGTGCAGATCACGACCAAGGGCCCCGAGTGTGCCATACTCAATGACCAAACCAGTAGCGACGAGGCCTCCAGCAGGGGCAGCCGAATAGCTCCGTAGAACGGCTCTCGCCCCGGACAGCATCCGAATCACTTGATTGGAAACCGGTGTATCATCACCAGGCGGTGGGGACTCCCAGTCATCCGATAAGAACGCTGCCGTTGTCGGAGCGGGGGTCTGGGGGGCAATGACGTGCATGTTATTCAGAGAATCGTTATTGGCAGCAGCTGCCATCTTAGAGGGCCACGATGGGGGCTCGGCATCAGGGGCGGAGGCATCTTGCATGACTATAAGGGAACCAGGGATCAACGACAGGCGGATCCTCCAGGGTACCTAAGTCGTGAAAATTAACGAGCGTGGAAACGTCAATTCCCAGTGCCCCACACTCCTGCCCTCATTACCTCCTCATCGTCACTGATAAATACGTGTACTGTTGGTTCTGCCACACAAGCTAAGTTGGGCGGCTCCAACTGTTGGCCTTCCTCAACAGTCTCTGGAGTTCCTCCCGAGGACAGCAGACTCTCGTCATCATCATCATCATCAGCAGAGTCCTCTACTTCCGGTGACGACTCCTGCTCCACGAGAGGCTGGCCCCCGATGACCTTGTCGTTCCTCCTCCACACAAACATATGCCCATACACGTTGCCTTCGCCATCACCAGTATCTGGTCTCTTCACTGGGGGCCAGGAAAGCTCCAATGAGAACTCATCCGGGGGCAACAGTTTCCGTAGAGTCGACCCAACCGATGCCAGAATACGCAGTGGCCTCGCGTAGCCCTTATGGTATCGCCCTGCTGAATATATAGTCTGGCTGGCTGCTGTGAAAACATCCCGGTCGTGGTCGGCCGAGCCCACGTTGATCAGGCGGGGATTCACAGTCATACCGATGAACCCCACCGAGGGCGGGTCGTCGTTGAGTGGAGGGAACGAATAGAGCATCGTGAGGAATACCCCAGGGACCTCAGCAACAGCATAGGCCGCGCGGAAATCGCAGGCATCTCTAGTCTGCTGTACAGTGCGGTAAACGTCGGTGGGCTCTGTTGGTAACAGCTCACTCTCAGGAGGCGAGGCGAAACCGTAGGGCCATGCAACTCGGTGCCAGCCGTTGACCTCGGCCTTATGGTCCGAAGATTCAACGTTAGCAAGGAAGGGCAGTTGCCGATCAAGTAGGGCCAGGGCGTGTGATAAAGAAGTAACAACAAGAGGGTCCACCGAGGGCAACAAGGGTGACTCCACTACTATACGGCCAGTCTTATCCAGGGAGACAACAGCACACAAACTCCCTGATGGCCGTCGCAAAACCAACGACCATGACGTCTCATCACCATCATTAGTCTGCCGTAAACTCGCACTGTTGTTGCCTCTTAGTGAGCCTTTCAACGACATCAGAGTCTG